AAGCAGTCGCCACTTCTCAGCCTTCACAGCCCCGGCCGTTACCTAGCGAGCAGGGCTGCAGAGAGAACATGGCACCTTCATCGCAGCCCTGACCAGAGGGAAACAGAGCAGAAGTGGGTTGATAACTACCGGGCTGACCTGGCATCTGCCCTTCACCAGGTGCCTGGGACCATCTGGGACCTCCCCTGATCCCATCCCAGCCCCAACACACCTTCTACATCAGGGTGAAGGGTGGGCAGTTGGCCCAGAAGCCAGCTGAGAGCTCACCCTAGCTGGTCGTTCCCAGCTGCGGCCGGAGTCTGGCTCTTTGGCACCTCTGATCTGGCTCGAAGGGGAGGGGGAAGAATGCGGCCCCGAGAGCTCTGCCTGAGCACTGGTGGTTTCTTGTGCAGCTGTCGTGTACACCAAGACAGGGGCGGTGGTGAGCGTGCTGAGCAAGACGCAGAAGGATGCCAGCTGCAGAGAGAACCCTGTCCATGTTGCTATGGTGAGTAAAATACTGTGGCTGGAGAGACAGACACACACATGGGAAAGGGGGGTTATTGTCTCCTTCCCTCGATGAGGAGCCGGCAGATGGAAATTCCTGGGTATGGGCTCCAGTGCCCACTCACATAGCCCTGGGCACAGGCTGCCAGTGCCTCTGTCCCCATTTCCCGAAGAGCAAACCCACCTCCCCGGGCCGGGGCTCGCTGCTCACACTCGGCCTGTGCCTTTCCCTGCAGCTCATCGCGAAGCACCTGCAGTCGAGTGACCTCATGCCCTTCAGCTTCACCCTGCTGGTGGGCCTGCTGGAGAAGGAGGAGTGTGCAGACCAGCTGGCCGGCGTCATGGAGGCGGTGCTTGGAGAGCAAGAATCAGAGCTGCAGGGCCAAGTAATGGCTGGGCATTGGAGGCACCATGCTGACATCTCGGGCAGCTCCATCTTGCCCCGTGCCTAGAATTCCTGGGGCACGAGGGAGGATGTGGAGGGGAGACATCCCTTCTCACCATCATTGATCAATGGGACCCATCCATGGCCTGTCTGCAAGGGGGCCGCTGGGCACGGCCCTGTAATGGTTTTCAGGCTTTGATCCCAGGAGTCTGGCTTGCCCAGCTCACTCCCTGGGAAGTGTGCCCTATCTCCAGATCCATCCCCCAGCTGGAGGAACAGAGCCTGCGGTGGGGTCCCCCGTGTCCACTGACTCTTTGCCCAGTGGACATGGATTGACGTACAGGATGGAAATGCATCCCAGACGCTTGGATCCCACTCTGGTGCTGAAGCAGCCCAGGCATGTTGTCACAAGGGGAGGTACAGCTGGGATATCCGGGGGGTGGGGTGTCACTGAGCAGCGGGATTGGGACCCTTAGTTCTACGGTGCTGGATCACGGGTGGGGGTTTCAAGGTACCGAACCCAGAACCCCCCTCGGCTCAGTCACTCGCTAGGAGAGTTTATCCATGGCCTCCGCCGGGCCATGTGACCGCTGCCTTGTTTCTGAGCCTGCCCAGTTCCTCCTGGCCCTTGCCTGCCACCCACCCACAGCGGGGGTAGGGTCTCAGCCCCTGCTTTGCCTCCGCAGGTGCAGGATCTCCAGGCGGCTCTTTCCTACACACTGAGCCCACCCCGGGGGGGGCGGCTGAGTGATGGGACGAGAGACATTCTCCACCTACTGGCCAGACAACACACCAAGACCGCGGTCAGCATCCTCCTGAAGATGCCCTGGCCTTACAAACGGTGAGCGCCGGCCCCAGGGAAAGGATAGAACACCCCCCTCCGGCCTCCGAGCCCCCCCTTAATGGGGTCACTCCACAGCACCACGGTTACATGCAGCACAGCCCCTCCCCTTGCACACAGGCCCCCAGGGAACAGCCCTGCCCCGGCATGCTGTCACCATTAGCCTCCCTGTCCCTTGGAGGGCTCCGTGTGCTCTGGGACCCCCGGCTCAGGGCTCCCCCAGCTGAGCTATTCCTAACACAGCTGTCACCCTCCTCCACTTCGTTCTGTGCACTGCTAACCAGTCCACCCCATCCCGGTTCGGCTGTGCAATGGCTTGGCTGGCTGGAGGCCAGGGGTGGGCACCTCCTCACACCAGCCCCCACCCTGAGCCCAGAGTCACTGCTTTCCCCCATGGGGGCTCTAACCCCAGCCCCTCTGGTTCCCATCAGGAGAAGGCAGCAAGGGAGGGAGGGGGCCCCCGAGCTGGGAGAAGTGAGTCTGGCCACGTCCACCCATCCCTTTCTGTGACACAGCGCTCCCTGGCAGTGCCCAGGCAGGAGGGTATGAACCCCTTAGGACTGGACAGTGCCTGAAGGGCCTTGAGGTCAGCCACCAGCAGGCTCAACCTGCTGCTTCTGGCCCGTCACCCCTCAGAGGGCATCATCCCCGGTGTGTACCAACTGGGCCCGTCCTCTGTGTGAATTCCTTACCTGCCGTCCCTCTATCCGTCACAGCCACATCAAGGCCATCTGGAGATTCCTAGGTGCAGACCCCATGCTGACCAGGGAGGTACTGCACATCCTGCTGTACGACAGCCCGGAGAAGGGCCGGACTAACCCTGGACAGACCCAGGACAGGAGCTGCCCCCAGCCCGCCCGGCTGCCCCCGGCGGTAAGTTCCCATCGCTGGCATTCAGCCCTCTTTCCCGGCTGCATTCTGCGCACGGCCACGGTCTTCTGACTGTATCTTTTCCCTTCCAGACCACATGCGGCCTGTGGGAGCTGATCGGGGCCTTGGGGCAAGCGGACACGCTGGAGGGTCGCGAGGACGACCTGTTCGCCTCTTGCTTCCTCGCCATCGCCTGCCCCCCGGCACGGCACCTCTCGGGAGCCCAGCAGGACTTGCCCAGTGACACCAGTCCACGCAGGTAATGTGTGGGGCCGATGGATCCCAGCACCCACGCAGTGTCTGGGCTAGCCCCTAGGAGGGGGAAGCTTCCTGCTTGGACCTTCATTGTTCAGGGACCCCCGACACCTTCGGGGGACCGAGGGTTCAGATCAGCCAGGCTTCTCGTGCTTAGGAGTGGGCAGAACTGCTCCCAGATACTCAGGGAGCCGGAGAGCTCCTCAGAGTCGGTAGCTCAGCAGGGTGATGAGGGAGCTGAGCCGGGGGTGGGGGGAGGGGGAGCAGAGCTGGGGAGCAGGGCAGAGCTGGCTGCTGTCTCTATTTACTGTCTACTTTGAAGGCTTTGGGACAGGCCCGGCCTGTCACTGAGCCACTTCACCCCTTTTCTACAGTGGGCCCTGGGGGGCAGGGCTCAGGGCAGCAGGGCATTCAGGGGGGCACTGCATGTACTTTTCTCCCCAGGGTCAGTTTCCTGGGCGGGGTGGGGGGGGCAATTTTCACATCTTTGGAGGAGAGCGAAGGTCACATCTGCAGACACTCCCCCCTGCCCCCACAGTTGCGGGGGGAGAACCAAAGGCAGAAGTGAGGGCAGCTTCTAGGCTCACCCTGATCCCTTCAGTGCTGCAGCAAGGGAGTCCTGCCCCCCCCCCCCCCCGCCCAGAGAGCAGGAATCCCCGCATCACCATCTCCTGCCTCCTTCTCTTCCCAGCATGGCCGTGCAGGCCCTGGCGCGGGTGCTGCGCCTCAGGGGCAGTCAGCCAGCTGTGGAGCTAATGGACCAGGAGCGAGGCTGGCAGCTGCTGGAGGAGGCCCAGCCCGAGGGGTTCACTCTCCTTAGCAGGTGAGGACAGAGGCTGGAGGAGTCACGTTCTCACTCTGGAGCCCAGTGGGGCAGAGATGGGAGGGGGTGGCCGGGACCGGGCCGGATTCCGGCATGTGCAGGGTTGTCATGCACACGTCAACACGAACTCTTGTTCTCTCCCAGGGCCATAGTGACCCACCCAAACCTGACCCTGAAGAGCATCCCAAAGCTTCTCCTTCCCAGCCTCCAGGCCAGTCAGGAGGGCGAACGCATGGCCTGCACCGCCCTGTTCGCAGAGGTGAGCCTGGAAGACCAGGCAGGAGGGTTAGCCAGGCTCAGAAGCTGATGGAACAGGGGGCCAATAGCTGGTCAGCCAATGAGAGATGGTCCTGGTGGTGTATTGCTTGTAAATTAATCCCTCTGCTGGGGGCTCTGTGGTGGGATTTGGGAGCACCCCACTGGAAGCAGAGGGAGCGCTCTGCCCTGCACATGTCACTTCTGTTAAGCTCAGCTGAAGCCAGCCCCTCATGAACAGCAGTCGGTACGGATCTATGTCACCTCCTGGCCCCTGATCATACTCCCTTCCCCTTGCTTCTGCCGGGCTAGGACCCACTGGCCTCACCCAGCCCTCTCTGATAGCTCCTTTCGGTCCCTTTAGTTCCTCGGCAGCCCCCTGCTGATGGAGAATGAGCCCAAGGCGATGCGGAAGCAGGTTGTGAAGGCCATGCTGCAGCGGACAGAGGACAGCAACATCCACGTTCGAGGCAGAGCGCTGCACGGCCTCAGGAACGCAGTGACCGAGTTCCCGGACAAGGTGGGTCTGGAATGGCAGGAGACTAGGCAGAGAGGGCTGGGTAGGAAGCGCCTGGTTCCCCTTCTCCCCAGCCTGTGGCTCCTATGGAGCAGACTAGGCTGTAGGCTGACTTGCCCGGACTCTGGTTACACTCAGGCTGACAGAGCGTTGCTCACCGAGCGGCGTCCAACCCCTTCTCTGCAGGTCAGAAAAAAGCGAGACCAGATCCTGGAGAGCTTTGTCCGCGCCGTGTGCGAATGCTGCGACCCCCGCACCATTCTGGAAGCCATGGAAGGGCTCTGCTGGATGCTGCGGGACCCCAAGGCGCCTCTGAAGGCTCACGTCGCCGTCCCGCTGGCCCTGCAGGCGAGAACGTTCTTTGAGGATGTAAGTACCAAGCAGGGCAGGCCCCATGGCACTATAGGGCACCCCACAGGGGGAGATGCTCAGGACCTGCCCTCACGTGGAGGGGGCTCAGTGTCCGATGCAGGCACATTCCTGGATTTGTGGGGCAGCTCAGCTCCTCTGCTAGGGAAGGCAGGGATACAATCATTCTTGGGCCCTGGGCCCACAATTGTTCAGCAGCCCTGGGGCCCAGCAGGAAGGAGGGGAGTTTGCAGAGAATTGTCCTGTCATTTGAACTAGCTGAAATCTCTCCGGGCTCCGCAGCTGCCAGGCTGATTCCCAAAGCATGTGAGGGCCTGAGCCTGTCCCCTCTAACCACCCTGCGCCCCCTGTCTGCAGAACAGCGACCTGAGGCGGGCCTCCATGGAGCTCTTTGGCCACCTCAGCAAATTTGTTTCCAAGAAGTCATCCCTCTTTGGGGCTGAGGTGGAGGAGAGCATGGGGACGCTGCTTATCCACCTACAGGACGGGGACCCCCAGGTGGCCCAGGTGAGTGCAGCTGAGGGCTCATAGGGGCAGGGGTGGCTGGGGGCATTCTAACAACATGGCAAGGGTGGTGCAAACTCCCCCCTCCAAGCCCTATATCTCCTCAGTGCTGCCCTATGGCACCCAGGACCCCCCACTAATCCAGCCCTCCCCCACCCCACACAGAGCTCTGCCAGCCCTCAGAGTGTAGCTGTGGGGTAGATCTGTGGGGTTTCCTTCTCCTCCTCCATTCCCCATAGGCACCTCCAGCCTCCCTGGCCAGCCAGCCTCTCCGCGGCTATGGCTCCATTTTACAGCCTGCCCTGTTTAGTGGCGAGGCCCAGGTCTATCTCTGGCCCCTAGCAAGTGACCTAACCCAAGCAGGGCCACAGGGAAGGGCAGGTTGCTGAGGCCGACTGGGTCTCCATTGCTGCTGCCCTGCCCTCACTTGTGTGCTAGCTCCTGTCTGGGAATGACCAGCCTCCTGCAGCAATCCCCCTCCCACCCCACCTCCGAGTAGCAGCCCCCAGTAGTGCCTGGGATTGAGGGGAAGCCAAGTAAGTTGGTCACCGGGCAGTGCTTTTAACCGCCCAACAGGGACCCACAGGGAATAGCCCCTTCCCTGCTCCAGGAGTGTCCCTCCCCGGCCCCAGCACTCGGGCCTGGCTCCCCTCAACCCAGCCAAGCTGGAGATGGGGGCTGTGGGGGCCTGGGGAACAACCGTCAGGCCAGAGGAGGTTCTGCAAAGAGGTGGCTCCTTGCTGCTCCGGCACAGCGGAGTCTCCCCAAGCCACGCAGAGCCTGCGAGTTGGCAGCCCGTTGCACTCAGGGACTCACCCAGCTCCCTTCTCGCCCTCTCCGGCAGGCGTGCAGGGTGACATTGCTGCACTGCGCACCCTTCCTCAGCTACCAGCCCCTGCGCACGCTCGTGCAGAGCCAGCTAGCTGAGGGGGCGGCCCCCGCCATCCCCGCCTTCCTGAACGAAGCCTGCAGGACCCTGGTGAGTGAGCTCTGGGGTGTGGGCCCTGCAGGACTGGGGGGTGGGAGGACCTAAGCACACAGGGAGCTTCCCTGCTCCAGGGAGCCCCCTCACTGACTCAGCCCCATCCCCTGCCCTTGAGGGTGGCTCCCCTACAAGTCATCTCTGTCCCATGGGAGGAGTCAAGGGGGAGAGGGCTCTGACAGCCAGGGGTTCCTCACCTCCCTAGCAGGCAGCTCCCCTCAGCCTGGGGAGGATGTGTGGCTTGGGACTAACTGGGTTCTTGGCTTCCCAGCTCCAGGACTGCCCAGGGAGGCTGAGCAAGAAGGCTGCCCTGAGAGCAGCAGCTGCCCAGCAGCTGATAGGTAAGAAAAGAGCTGGAGCTCTACTTCCTATTATCCCTTCCTGCCCCATGAGTCCGGGGCCCAGTGCCACATGCACACTGCCAACAGGGGGGAGGGGCTGGCCTCCTCTGCCCACACACAAACACACCCAACTCCCCCCCCACCCGCTCCTTCCCACCTCCCTGGGACAAAGGGGGAACCAAGACTCCTTTCAGCCAGATGCGAGAGGGCTCTGCAGCCAGAGGGTCTCCTCTGTCCTGGCCCTGGGCAAGCCCGGCACCTGCAGCAGGAGCAGGCCCGAGGGAGAGATGCTGCCTCCCAAAGGTCTCACCCTGATTCCCCCCCACCCCACCCCGCGAGGCACTGGCCCCAGCCAGGTCCCCCTGCAGCCTGTACAGGGAGGGCAGAGATTCACAGGAAGCCCCAGCCCTGCCCACCCCAGCTACCACCAGCCATGCAGGCAAAGAGCCAGGGCAGCAGCTCTGCCACACTGTGCTTCACGCCAACTCCCAGTGGGGCTTGTGTGCACAACACCTCTCCTGGCCTTTGTGGGGCACGAGGCCAAAGGCAAAATGATCCCAATAATCTTGGGGACTGACTCTCCACCCAGCTCCTTTCCCTCCTCTGCCCGGATGGATTGGGGGTGGAGGGCACCTTGAAAGACAGAAATACAAGCAGTGGCTAGTGCCCTGCATGCTGTTAAATAACCAGGCCCGCCTGCCTCCCCTAGGATACATGATGGACAATTGAAGCCAGAGAAGAGCAGGAGGCTTGGACCACCCACCCTGCTGTGAGTCACGGCTGAGGGGTATTGCTGTGCTTGGAGGAGGGGCGGGGGGAAATCGGGCCAGGATTCTAGGGGCAGGGGGCAGCAGCCACATTGCACGGTGGCTGGGAGCCAGAACCCAGTTGGAGTGACCTGCAGAGCGTAGGAGCAGGGAGAAAACCCTCAGGGCTGGTTCTGGGGTATCTTCTCCCCGGCTATAGTTTGAAACTCCCTGCCCTGTGGGGT